CACCTTGATGTGCATGTGTGTGTTATGCATAATGGCTCTGAATTGTTAATTGGAGAGCAGAGTTCCGATTTCTCTTCGGTTCATTATATTCACTTCCGCGCAAATACTCTTGCAAAAGGCATGAATCCATCTCTTCTTCCCTGACCTATGGCTTAATTTGTAACATTTTTAACACTAAAACCATTCTTATGTTAAAAAAAAAAGTTATTACAATCTAAAAAAATATTTCCTGCCTTTAAATAACATATAAAGGGCGTGATAAACCATAAAAAACGAACCAATCATTATATATTAGCGAGAAAATTACGTTAAGTGGTTGAATGCTTGCTTTAACTGTTGATTCTGTTTCGTAAGGAATACAAAAAGAATAGATCAAGTTAGGAGATATTATCGAAGTGATTAAAAGACAAAAATCAAGACGCACATAGCAAGAAGTAACGATTACAGGTGGAGCAAAAGGTTGCTTAATTGATGGACAAGTACGAGATAAGACCAAACAGAAGATGGAAACGTGATATTGAACGATTAGATCGTAAAGTAATGGTATGTTTTTGATTTTGTACTTTCCATCTCACTATTCATTGGTTTATTCTAGATATAATGGCCACTATTCATTTCCGAGCCCACATATATGATAGAATGTCTCGCTAATCCCCATTGCAGAAGCTCGCTCAGGCACGTTTTGAGGTTTTAAACGTAACTAAAGAGAAATGAAACAATATGTCATTTCTCCGATCGATTTCTTAAATTGTTAAAAGACAATTCTTTGACCCAATATTCATTTGACAACTAGTAAAACACCGGCAATAAAAAATATTATTTTAGCTATGTCTAACATCCACGAAATTTCTATTCGGTTTGGTTTGGTTTGGATTTGTTCTACGGCATATCAACACCTTAATGGGTTATTTAATGCGGACAAAATCTTTATTGCTAGTAATATTTTTTTTCCAAAATTTATTGCTGGAAATATTTTTTTCAAAAATGTATTGCTGGTAATATATTTTTTTTAAAGATGTATTGCTGGTAATATTTTTCCTTAAGGAAATCCATTGATAGTAATATGTTTTTTCTTTAAAAATCATTGATGGTAATATTTAAAAAAATATGTATTGCTGCTATTAAAACTTACTTTTACACATTCATAGTGCTTTGACTCCAGTTTGGTGGTTAACTATTTGCCCATAGCTGAGATCCTAACAGGTGTTACCACCCCGGGTCAGGGTGGACTGGGGAACACCAGCAATTAAGAGGTAGTTTCACGCCCCTCAAAACCACCTGATCAGAGGCCTAGCTGTTGGATGTAGTTTATCGTCTTACCCAGGACGCGGATGTAGTTTATCGTTTTACCAAGGACACGGATGGACGTCGGATGCGGTTTTTATCGTTTTACCAAGGACACGGATGTGGTTTATCGTCTTAACCAGGACGCGGATGTAGTTTGTCGTTTTACCAAGGACACGGATGTAGTTTATCGTCTTACCCAGGACGCGGATGTAGTTTATCGTTTTACAAAGGACACGGGTATAGTTAATCGTCTTACCCAGGACGCGGATGTAGTTTATCGTTTTACCAAGGACACGGATGTAGTTTATCGTATTACCCAGGATGCGGATATAGTTTATCGTCTTACCCAGGACGTGGATGTAGTTTATCGTCTTACCCTGGACGCGGATGTAGTTTATCGTTTTACCAAGGACACGGATGTAGTTTATCGTCTTAACCAGGACGCGGATGTAGTTTATCGTTTTACCAAGGACACGGATGTAGTTTATCGTCTTACCCAGGACATGGATGTAGTTTATCGTTTTACTAAGGACACGGATGTAGTTTATCGTCTTACCCAGGATGCGGATGTAGTTTATCGTCTTACCCAGTGCGTGGATGTAGTTTATTGTTTTACCAAGGATACGGATGTAGTTTATCGTCTTACCAAGGACGCGGGTGTAGTTTATCGTCTTACCCAGGACGCAATTTCGTTTCCTTTAGAATTAGAATTTTACTATTCAGATATATAAATTCTTCAGCTGTGTAGAAGGATTTACTCATATGGGCAGTAAAATCAGTAACTGCGAAGGCGACGCATTGGCAAAGTCTGGTGTGCCATCGATAAGTTATCTCTAGTATGTAGGTCTGGACTTCCAGACCACATGAAAAGGAGCATCTTTCAAGCAACTGTTACATCTGTTCTGTTGTGTAGCTCCTTGGTATGGACCCTTTTATGGAAACTGGAAAGAACATTGGACGGAGTTTATATTTGAATCCTAATTGCGGCTTAGAATTTTACTCGTAGAGACCGTCTGACCAATGGCACTTTGTCCAATGTCAGACATGATAAAAGAGCGTACTGAGAAAGACAATATTCGGAAAATGCTATTGAACTTCCAACGTCATGATCTTTCCCGTTAAGAATTTCAATGTACGGAGCTTGGCCTGTAACATCAGCAAAAACAAACACCATCCTGGTCTGAACAGTAACATCAGCAAAAAACAAACACCATCTGATATGTTTAGAGACAGAATACAAACATTATGGAAACAGATTTGTTGTCAACAGTAAACGTGTGGAATAATTTACACCGATGTTGGCAAGTATCAGATCTTGTGTCTGTAATGCAGTTTGTAGAAAAATCACGTGGTAAAGATAAACACTTAGTTGTGGAGCAAGCTAAGTGAACCATAATCCAACCTTTAGAAAGAGAGCTATTTATGTTGCCATAGAGTATCTCATTGTGCTAAAGTGGGATAGTCCATTGCTTGGGCTGTGATTGGCTGCTGGTACCTGAGTGGAGGTATTTCTATATAAATACCAGCTTGATTCAGCTGTTAGTTTGCAGGGTTTGTATTAAGTTACAACCTGCTTTATTTTTGTCTGCCAGCTGGACGCTAGCTGGGACCTTTACACCGGTAAGTGCTGTTTATTATTGTTATTCTACACAGTTCAAGAAAAAAAAAACACACGAATATCAACAAACAGAATGCATCCAGAATGCCTAACTAACAAAGCCATGGAGTTTCATTAAAAAAACTGACTTCAAAATATTTAGAGGCCATCCAAGAACCACCATAATCACAACGCTGAACCCAGACATTCAAAGAACAAGACAGAAAGATTCTTTCGAGAAGTTTACAATCAAGATCTACAACGAATCCGCAAACTCGCAGAGGACAGAGAAAGCTTGTAAAATATTGTCGAATCAGTATACAATGTCACTGAAGATGGGGGAACATGTTAATTCCTGACCTCAAATCGAAGCAGTTTTGATTATGATGTGCTCACGTATTTGTTCATAAACGTCAATGTCTTTCAATTGTATATTCTGTAATATTAAAGTTGTATAACCCCTTGGTGATATCAGTTTTAACCTACAACTGTGGAACGTAGGGCTTTACAAAGAAAGAAGAGCAGGAACTAGACAGTTTCTGCAGACGACAACTTCAAATTCTGATAGGAAAAAATACACTCATAATATCACCAACAAGAACAGCAGATGTCAAGAAACTCATTTGTCTTTGTTCATTGTGAAAGCAAGATGGAAACTTCTTGGAAATATTTTGCGAATGGATTCAGAATGCCTAGCTAACAAAGTCATGGAGTTTTACTTTTGAAAAGATTGACTTCAAAATGTTCAGAGGTCATCCAAGAACCACCATAGTCACAACGCTGAACCAAGACATTCAAAGAACAAGGCAGAAAGATCGTACTTTTCCTTTGGAGAAGTTTACAATCAAGGAAGATCTGCAACGGATCTGCAAGCTCGCAGATGACTGAGAAAGCTGGCAAAATATTGTCGAATCAGTATAAAATATCACTGAAGAGGAGAAAACATGTTAATTGATAACCTCAAATCGAAACAGTTTTGATGATCATGATAGCTACACATAGTTTTTGCCTTACCAGTTGCACTCCTGATGATGATCTCATAAAGAGATGGAAAGTACTTGGGAAATAAAAGTTATTTTCACTGTTACAATGCATTTCTTGCATCATTTGATTGTAAAAACACGGGGAAATATCCGTGAATATGAAAGGATTATTCTAAAAATAAGCAGACATAATGTTTTCACTTTATTTAATCAGACATACCTAAAAGAGAATTTGCTTCCTAAATACACACACACACACACACACACACACACACACACACACACACACACATATATAAATATCACTGAAGATGAGAGAACATTAATTCATGACCTCAAATCGAAACAGTTTTGATTATGATGATAGCTACACCATAGTTTTTGCCTTACCAGTTGTCCCCCGGATGATGAACTAAGAAAGAGATGGAAAGTACTTGGGAAATAAAAGTGATTCTCACTTTTACAATGCATTTCTTACATCATTTGATTGTAATACACAGAAAAATATCCGTGGATATGAACGGATTATTCTAAAAAATAAGCAGACATGATGTTTGCAATTTATTTAATCAGTCATACCTCAAAGAGAATTTGCTAGATAAATTATTTTATTAGTAAACTTTGTCATAGATTTTCCTAAAACAGGGGTTCTTAACCAGGAGGTATTAGGGGTCCTTAACCAGGGGACGGAAATGTCAGGGTTTCAAGGAAGACGATAAAATCTTTTACTATTTTTTGATTTTTATTTACAGAATTTGAAGCCCATAATGAGTATAAAAAAAAAGACACTATGATGGATCTGATATTCAATATGGATTCCCATCCATCATCATCAATGGAGAAAAAAAGGCCCCAGTGTGCATTTTGTTGCAAAGCTTTGCCAAATGATTCTTTAAAACCAACAAAGTTGAAACAGCATTTGCTATTGTTCATCCCTCAGCACAAGGACAGGGGAAAAGATTATTTTGAATGTCAGAGAAAGGATCTTAAAACTAATTACTGTACATGTATTTAAGTTTTAAAATACATCAACATTTTCTATTGCTATTAAATTTGTAAAATACCTCTATGGAAATAATCCACAGAGAAGGCGGGCAAAATATTGTCGAATCAGTATAAAATATGACTGAAGA